ATTTAAAGATCCAGTTAGACCCTAGTACAATAATACTGGATGATTTCAATACTCCTTTCTTACCATTAGATAGTTATCCAGACATAAACTCAGTCAAGACTTTTTAGACCAAAAGAAATTATAAGTCAAATAGGTTTAATAGATATCTATATAATATTTTATTTGGATAAAATAATAGCTATAAAATAATCCTGCTTGTTTGTGGGCTCCATATGCTTTTGAAATTCCACCTTTGTTCTGTATGTTAGCTGTTCTAATTATAATGTGTCATGGTAGGTTCTTTTTTTTTTTTTATTTATTAATTTATTTATTTATTTTTTAAGTTTTCGGCAGACACAACATCTTTGTTTGTATGTGGTGCTGAGGATTGAACCCGGGCCGCATGCATGCCAGGCGAGCGCACTACTGCTTGAGCCACATCCCCAGCCCCATGGTAGGTTCTTTTTTTATCTTTTTGATCTACTTGGGTTTCTAAATGATTCCTATATCTTAATGTCCATCTCATTCTCAAGATTTGGAAAACTCATTATAATTTCCCTGAAGAGTTTATCCATGTCATTAGTCTGTGTCTCTCAATCCTACTTGATTTTCATCCTTTCACTTTTAGCCTGTAAATGTCTTTGCTTGTAAGGTGCATCTTTTGCAAACAGTATATAGTTGTTTTCAATTCATCTGTAAGCCTATGTCTTTTAATTGGAATGTTGAGACCATTTATGTTAAATATTATTATAAAGAGATGTAATTCTTGCCATTTTGATTTATTTCTAATGTTTAATTGGGTCCTGTTTCTCATTTGCTTAACTACTCTTCAGAGATTTTCTCACTTGTAAGTGATGGATTTTGTTTTTCATTTCTTCTTTGTGTAGTAGCCAACAAAACAGTGTCAGCTTAGTAGTCATGAATTCCTTTAGTTTTTGTTTATCTCAGAAGGTTTTTATTTCTTCTTCCAGTCTGAAGGATAGCTTTGCTGGACTACAATCATGTTTGACAGTTATTATTTTTTAGGGCTTGGAACACACAATTCTAACCCTTCCTGGATTTTAGAATTTTTGCTGAGAAATCAGAAGTAATTCTGATTGCCTTACCTCTAAATGTGACCTGATATTCATCTCATGGGGCTTTTAAAATTCTACTCTTGTTCTGTATGTTAGTTTTTCTAATTATAATTTGTCATGGGGAGATTCTTTTTATGATCTTTTTTGATCCAATTGTGTTTCTAAATGATTCCTGGACCTTAATGTTCATCTCATTCTCAAGATTTAGGAGACTTTCTATTATAATTTTCCTGAAGAGTTTATCCATGCCATTAGTATGCATCTCTCAATCCTCCTTGATTTCAATGATTCTTTAAATTTGGTCTCTTAAAATTGTCCCAGAGTTCTTAAAAATTCTGGCCATGGTTACTTTTTTCCTTTAATAATGTCTGAATGTTCAAGGCCAGCACTTTGTCTTCCAGTTATAAAATTCTGTCTTTAGCATAGGATACTCTATTAGAGAGACTTTCAACACAACATTTTATTTTATTTATTGTATCTTTCATTTTAAAGATGTTTTTGTAGTTCTTTTTCAATATCTTTATTTCCTCATTGAATTTCTCATTCATATCCTGTACTGACTTCCTTAATTCATTCAATTATTTTTCTGTGTTCTCTTGGAATTCATTGATCATTTTTAAAATCATTCTTTTGAATTCTTTATCTGTTATTTCATCCACTTCAATATCTTTGGAGTCCCTTGCTTGTGAGTTGTAAACTTTAGAAGGTGATATATTACCTTGTTTTTTTCATATTTTTTGTATTCCTGTGTTGGATTGTATTCAGCTGTTGGGAGGGATTTCTCTTCCACTCTTATGTGTTGGCTTTTTTAGGTCACAGCATTTTCTTGACAAAGTGTTCTGGGATATCAAATTGTAGTGAATTTTTCAATTTATTTCTAAGTGAGTTTTAGTATAGTTTCCCTGCTCAAACTTTGCATGTGGAGCAAAATTAGTGTATTTTGCCAGACTCAAAAGGAAATCAAGTTGCACTTCCCTCCAAATTCATTCCACCATGTACAATCTTCTCTGCACCTGTTTTAATCTTGATCTACTAGGCACACCCTAGGACACATGGTGGATGCTTTCTGGGACAGTTTGACAATATTTGCTGTGCTCTCCCAGGCTCCTTCTGCAGCAGTGAGCTGAAATGTAGTCTTCTCAAAATGGCTCTCCACCTGAGTCTGAGCTCTCCATTTGCTGGTTGAGAAACACAGAGCACTTTGTAAACATCAGCTCACTGTGCAGTGTATGGTTCAGCTAAGGTTGGACTTCTTTTCTTTCTGCCAAATTTGTCCAATTGTGTTTCTTTTTCCATTTGGGTTATCCCCCACGCTGCAGTGAATCTGTGACACTGTCACTTTTGCACCTGGCTTGGCTTCCATACACTCTTTCTTGTCCTTTGTTCAATATTTCCAGGTTTCCAGGTTTTTCAGAGTCACTGACTGTCCAATATTGAATTTCAGTCAATTTCTTCAATCACCCTCTTCACTGAGAAGCAGTACTCCTATTGCTTGAATCCCAAGCCATGATACAACTGGAAATGCAGTCTTCCTCTAATCCACCATCTGGAATCTCCTGAAACTGATTTCTTGGGACTTCTAACGTCAAGCCCTATCTGGCTTAGGACTCTGGGAACACCACCACCTGTTCCTTTAACACTTTCCAGGACAAATGGGAAGACTAGTCAAGCCCTAATTATCTGAAAAAACAATTCCTCTTAGAAACCTGACAGAAGACATGTTGAGGAAGATCTCAATTTTGTTAAGATAGCTTTGTTTGGTATACCCAAAGGTATAGGATTAGGTATAGTGCATCTTAGGGAAAGCAGATTTTATAAACTGGAAAGTGAGGCACAGGATGGATGAAATCCATCCCTGGACACACGTCACATCCAGTGGGTTAGTCTAGTTGGTTCAAGAATTTTGCCCATTAAAAATGGATCATGGAAAAAATAAATAAATAAAAATAAAAATGGGTCATGGGTTCACAGAGCATTCCTATGTTCCCTGATCATATGCTTCATCTATAGGTTTGATCAGCCATTTTTAAAAAGTATGTATTAAGGTAGACAGAAGAAAGAATGCAATGTTATTGTGAAGATCCATTATCACTATTTAAAATGTAATCAAGAACACCCTCCAGTAGCTTTCTGTTATCACTGAGAATAAAATCCAAATCATCAGCAAAGATCTCAGGCCCAATATGACATGGGGCCCTGTCCATCTATCCTAACTCACGTCCTCACTGTGCTCCAGGAACATTCCTTGACTCACCAACCCCATTCTCATGTAGGACCTTTGCACTTGTAGCTTCCTCTGTCTTGATACTAGTCCCCAAAGCTTTGTGTGACTACAGAGATCTCAGATCAGAGGCCACCTTCAAAGGCCTTTCTTGACCATTCTAGCAAAAGTAGCACCCCAGTCACTTTCTCTTATATTCTGTTTTCTCTTTATGTCACTGGTCACTACCTGGTATTATTTTATTTGACTGATTTTAATCAACTCTCTCTCCTTAGTAGAATGTAAGTTCCATGAAGACAGGGTCTTGAGTGTTTTCTCCACACCCACAACACCTAGGACAAGGAATACCTGTTGATTAATTAACATTCTCCTGGTTGGTCAGTAACCACCTTCATTTATATATGAAGGTATTTTTTTATTGGTGAGACATTTTTCCTAATATATAAATTTATATAAGCAAAAATACATGTTATCTATATTTAATAAAGAGTTCTATTAAAAAACTAGAATTATACAACATTGGGGCTGTCTATTCTAGAGAATTTGTGACGTGTCATTATCATATATGTGAAGTTCAATTTCTAATGTCTTGTGTGTTTTTAGCATTAAAATACTTAGCTATCAATGATCACTGATAAGAGAAGGTGCTCACTAGAGCAGGATGGGATTCCTGAGAGAGAAGCTGGGTGCACAGGTGGGTTTGTGAGTTCATACATGCCCAGGAAAACCCTCAGCTTAGCATGACCTTCATTTTGTAGTCTTTAAGGGTATGTCTTTAACTGTAATGTACTTGTCAATTACCTGGGGATTTTATTAAAATGCGAATTCTGAGTCCTAGATAGGGCCTGAGATTCTGCATGTTTTATAAGTTTTCACTCAGATGGCACCTATGAGACTGGCTAGGGTCTCACACTTTAAGAAGCAATCTCCAGTTCTGTAAAATTATCATCTGGGAAACATCCCTCTAGATTAGCTCAGAAAGGAAGTGCTAATCACAGGGGACTCAGTCCCCTGGGAGAGATAAATACAGAGAACTTAATTAAGAAAAAGCAGAAAGGCATTTTCCTGGAAAGAGATGACTCATTTTTTCTAAATCTGTAATAAACTGAATCTATAAGAACTTAGAATAGAATTCCTTCTGAGTGCTGACTGGTGTGCAGATTTGGGAACTTGTTTAATTCTGATATGGGAATTGTAAATACACACTCCTTTACAAGTCTGAAATTTACAACTTTCGGGGCATGGGACAGGAGAAAAGTTTTGTCAATTCTGTGTAGCAGAAGAACTAATATGAATCCATTTCCCCTGCCAATTATTGTTTTTTCTGGTTTCCCCTTTTAAAAAATTTCCCCTCCTTGCCTCCAACCCTCACCTCTACATGAGGAGCTCTAAACTGTCTATGCTAATTGACTTGGCCAGTGATTCACTCACTGTGACCTTCTCCCACTTGGCTGCTGATCCCATGAGAGGTACACCTGAACTTCTACCTTCCTCTATATGCTTTAGCAAGACTCTGCTACGGGTCTTATTTCATATTATTTGTTATAGTTGTTAACATGCCTATCTCCTTGGGGAACTGGTGGTAGGGGTGGAGTGACTGAAGGGCAGGATTTGGGCATTCCTGGGTCCTTTAGCAACCCTCCAACAGCAATGATTGAACACCATTTGTCATTGTTCATAGCAACTTCCTTCCAAGTACAAAAAAAAACCCTCAAAAAACAAACCTGGCCCTTTTCCTCCAGTTTTTTGTGTTCCTTAAGAAGTTGTTCCACATGCATCACGCTGTCTCCAATGCCTGTAAACTCTGCTAGCTCTTCCAGCAAATTTTCCAGGGCAAGTTTAACCTGCAGGACACATTAGAACTGTGCATAAGTAAAACAACAAGCACCCATCTGTAAAAGTATAGGTTTGTTATGTGCAAGAAAACCTAAAAAATCTAAAAGGATCAGGACTTGGGTGAATCAATATATGCCTTTCTTCTTTCTTCTTTTTTCAGCTTAGTACCTTTCAGATTAAGCTGGGGATCTAGAGGCACTCATAGTTAGAATGTTAGAACTACATTCAACAGCTCATCAGTCTAAAAGCAACTTAAACCAACACTGAAATGCTACATATGTCAACAGGAAAATGGGATAATGGGATTCTAGATTGCTGTTACTCCATTGCAAATGTGGGGTCTATGAAATAGTAAGGATGTAAAGAGGGAGCTGGATTAGGCAAAAGAGGAAATCCCAATCCCAGAGCATCTAAGGGGAAAGAGAAAAATCAAAGGTCTGTATGAAAAATGGAAGTTATGTTAAGAAAAAGGAAGTTATATTAAGAAAGAAAACAATACCTTATAAAAATTGTGCTCAAAGCGCTGTAGTTGTAGGCATTGGTTAAGTTTCAGGTGATGCTCAGACCAAAACTGACTAAAGGCTTTTTCTGTTTCATCCAATTGAACTAATAGCCTTTTAAGAAATAACGAAAAAGCAACTTTATGTTAGCATTCATTTCTACAGGTGTCTGCATAGGCCTGTGTTATGTACTACCTATGTCTTCCATCAATGTTATTAATTGTGACATTCTGTGTATTATTAAAGACTGTGTCACCTGTGTCTTTCTTAGGGTTTAGTGGGTCCCACACATTCAAACACCTGCAGTACAGGAAGAAACTTAACTCCAGATGCAGCTACTGTGCTTTAAAAATGTGCTTCAGGTGACCCAACCTTTGTGCCTTCTTCTTTTTCCACCTGAGACTACACATGTGTAAATAACAGCATCAAAACAAAATTTTATTGGAAATGAAACTCAACAAATACCACCATCTCTCTGGAAATCCTGGGATTAGAGCATATCATAAGAGGAGGGAATGGAACTCTCCTAAATATTATTTATTTCCCCCTTTAGTCCCAAATACTATTCTTTCTTGGCCTCACTAAGACCCAGAAGTATCTATTCCAGCCTGTTCTTAGTTGTTTTAGAACATCTAGGTCTACATTCTCTCCTGAGAAATCAAAGTCCACCTCACTCACCTTTCCATGGTAGCTACATTCTCAAGTTCACTGATATTGAGTTTTCTGGTGGGATTTTTGGTTGTTGGTTCTTGGATGCATGACAGTAGAGTGGTCCCTTGTTCTCCAAGTAATTTCAGCTCATCCTAGAAAAGTAAAAATATAGAATTTCTTAGAGGGAATCCACAAAAACAAATTCACGGTATTTGGGAGGTGAGGAAAAAGGTAGATCCATATGTTTTTCATTTAGGATGTTAAATGTCAAAGAAGTCAAGATGTAGTCAATTAATTTAAAAATTAATTTATCCTTAATAAGTAGTGCCTACTCATGATACAAGATTCAAAATATACAAAAGGGTGTGACATGAAAAGCAATTCTTTTGTCCCCAGCCTGTCTATTTTCCCTCTCAAAAAGCAAATATTTATTAAGATTTTTGTGTAGATCTCAAGCTTTTGTTGTACATTAAGAGCAAACCTAGTTAATAAAAATCTGTTTCTAATCCAAGATAGTGACCAGAAACAAAAAAATAATGACAGGAATTGAATGTTAAGTGCTAGACATTTGCCAAATAATAAAACAATAACTGCTAGTGGACCATGAAAGTATTTTATCTGGTCTCATTAGTAAACACTCCCCTCTGCTAACTGTCCCCTAATTGTGGCCTGGTCCAATTCAAGAAGTTTATCAGAAATGGGCAGCAATTTCAGTTTGACATGGAAAGATTTGGACTTCCAAGGCAACTACTAATTCTATAATACTCTTTTAACATGGTGCTTTGCAAGCTATTTTTGAAGCTATTTTCTTTCAAATCCAGTAGCTCAGAGACTTCACCTTGGAGGTCACCTCTCATTACCATAAACTTTTGAAAGCCAAAAGGAGCATATTCAGCCTGAGAATTTTACTCTTCAGAATTCTGGGTTTGGTTCCTGGGTCACCGGGGCTGATTTGATATGCTCTTGAGGATTAGAGGAGGCCCATGATTCTAACTGAAATACTGAAATACTCTTCTGCCTGTGGGCACTGAAACTGTTCTTCTAGGCTAAGCGACCTCTTCAGCCTTCACACAGCCTCCAGCTAAGGGAGGAATCTACACCCACACTCCAACTATGTTCACATAGAATTCCTGGGTCCTCTTAACCTCACTCCAGTATTTCCCTTAAAGGGTTACTTTGTCCATACCCAACTTCCAACTTGTCTCTAGATCTGTGTGATGTCTAGACAGCTCCTTGGATTCTGCGACTCTGTCTAATTCAGACAAAGCCCCAAGTCAGCAAATGGCAGTCTCCCCTGCCTGCGAATTGGATGCATCCCTTCTTTTCCACTCTCAAGTATGGGCCCTCTTTTCTTCTTATCTCATCAATGCTCATTAAATATTTGCAGAGTAGCTAAATTAGTAATAGTCTAAAAGAAGACAGGTTACAGATGAATAAAGGTACATCAGATATGATGGGAAAACATAGATATGATGTATACTTGTCCTTACCCTTTTTTTCCTCCACCCATCGAAGAGGGTCCTGGATTTTCCCACTCAGTTTCTTAACTGAACCTTGGAAAGGATTCTGGTAATATTTTACAGGTGCACACACGCACACACACACACACACGCACACACAGTTTGAAATGCAGATGGGAAGGAAGGTGGTGAGGCTAAAGGAAAAAGAGGCATATAGCTTAGTACAGAAGGAGATATGGAGACACTGGGAGAGGGACCGAAAGGAGAGACATATTCAGAGAGCTGCAGACATGAGGGAAGTATCTGAGATAGGGAAGGTGGATCTTAATAAGTGATTTCATACCCTGTGTATCACCTTCACACTGTTTAAAACAAAACAAAACAAAAACCACAGGCAAAAATCATGACCTGGTTACTGCTTTGGGACTAAACCACATGGTCAGCTTCAGTAAGGTTACAAAAAATCTGCCATAACAAAAGGGAAAGATGGAGCAACTATGGTTCTCAGAAAGGGTAAAGGTAAGGAGCCTAATCCCAAAATAGAGTTTCAGTTTCCATGGAAAGATAGTGTCCTTCATCCTTTTGAGTATTTAATTTTTTTACTGCCTGCACTCAGTGTGGATGGAGGAGCTCAGGGCATTGTCTCTGGACCCTGTGTATAAATTCATGCTCCCTTCCGGCGAGTTTCCTTCCTTTGTATCCACCAGTGGTGGCAGAGTGAGTACTGCTTGCAGAGTGAGAGAGCCCACTGCCTGTCCAAGTTGCCTGTACTCAGGAAATGGGAGCCTCCCTGTGGAGACGGGACAAGCACAGAGCTGGGCGCTGTGCCATGGGCTGAGTCCAGCCTCTAGTTCATCATCCAGCGGAGACAGAGGCAGCGCATGGGCAGTGAGCCAAGCTGTGTGTACTGGTCTCATTCATCAGGAACAGAACCCCTCCTGGGGAAAGCTATGTGCACATGTGCTCTTCCTTCCTGACTCTCAGATGGGAGAGTGAAATCACAGAAAACAAAGTTTCAAATCTTAGCACCAAGCCCAGTGGCCATGATCTCATTGGATAGAAAATTACACATGCTGTACCAAAATTGGAAGCACTCTTGGACTGTAAGGATGAATTAAGAGCCAAATTGCGGTTCACACTGGGGGAAGGAATTTATGTTACTAAATAAGAGCCTTCTTTAAAGTCATTGGTTTGTTTAAAAGTTTGATAAGATTGTTCTGCTGTGAATGTTTTCAGATTTTGTTTTTCCTGTGTGAACAGATTAGTTTGATATCCAGGATAGGCAAAAGAAAGAGACTCTGTTAGATGATAGTGTTGAACAAAGTAGTAACAACTCCACAGAGAATTAGCAAATGAGGCTATAAAAACTCTTGAATTCAATAGCTCTTAGTATTTTGACTGCTTGTCAAGTGACTGGGCGGTTATAAGGATCTAAGATAAGGGATCTCAAAGATCCCAGGAGAAGGTAAATCAAACAGTCAAGCCAAGTATCCCAATGCCATGCTAGCTGTTTAGAAACTGTTTTAGAAATTTTTCTCTTTAGGGTGAGAGAAAAAAAAAATAAATCATACACCATAACTTTTATACATATTAAAACAGATTTAAAAGTTCACCATTCTGAGGAATTAATCTGACACTATACTGGCTTTTCTCTTAGGAAGATGTTTTCTAAATGAAAAAGAACTCATTTAATTTCTTAGAGAATGTTTAGTTAAAAGGTAGGTAAGGGCTAGGGATGTAGCTCAGGGTAGAGCGCTTGCCTAGCATATATGAGGCCCTGGGTTCAATCCCCAGCACCGAGGGAAAAAGAAAAAAAGGTAGAGAGAACACTAAGATGTAAAATAAGATATGTGAAAATAACCATAAAAAGCTATTAAGTTATAAATAAAAATTCAAAAAGTATTTCCTTTTTCTAATATAAATCATTTTCTTCTTAATGCATATTTAGTTGAGAAAGAGGAAAAATATAACTCCAGTTTAATAATTTTGACATTCTTGCTTCTATGTTATAAGGAGGAAAGAAATAAATTTATATTTGGCCAATAATTAGTCATCACAAAAAGGAAAACCTTCTGTATTATTTTTAAATGAATATTAATATTACTTGGAAAGACAGAATATTTTAAATCCAAATTCATTTAATATAAATAAAATTGAGAATTTTATCCTCAAATAGTTACAGGTCTTGTCCATGACCTTGGGGCAGCATGGAATAGAAACACAAGCATGATCTTCAGTTTATGCAAGGCTGCATTTATTTTCTTACTAAAAGGAGAATTCAATGGAATCCCCTAAATTCTTTTTAATTGTCTTACAGGTTATATAGAGATATTTAACCCAATTGAAATATGATAATTAGAGTGTAAAATTATTTCTTTATAATTGTCAAATAGCATTTCACATTCTGTGGATCTAAAAAGTTACTCCACGGCATAATCAGAGTTGTGTGTTCTAAGTCTGAAAATAGCTGGTCACCATGCACAGGAAAATGCTCTTCCCCCATCTTGTAGACTGGTTCCTTCTTATTCTGTTACCTCTGTGGAACTCTGCCTGTGTCAAAACTATACAGTGCCTGCTCATCTGACTTTCCCAGAGTATCGCTGCTGCACAGACAGCAGGACTTATCTGATTGGTTTTTCACTCCCTAGGTATGTGTCCTTGTATAAAATCCAAACTTTTAAACTTTTTCCCCAGAGCACTGTATGTGCCCTTACTACACCTAACTTGGAAAGGGCTGAACTTTTTTTTTTAAGTGCTAGGAATTGAACCCAGGGCCTCCTGCATACTAAGCAAACACTCTACCACTAAGCTCCATCCCTAAACCAAGCTGAATTCTAATATGTACCTAAAAGTTGCAAAAATGCTTTGCTTAATGGTTGCCTGAGAACTATCTGAGTTGTCATCTCGGGTACTTCTGCTCTGCAGCTGCTCCTTGGTAGAAGGCTCTGTGCTCTGTGCTCACGACCGCCTGTGCAGAGCTCTGTTTTACAGTTCCTGTCTGGCAGCCTGCCATGCTCAGCATCCTTCCCATTACACTCTGTCCTACTAACTGCTGCTCTGCAGACTCCTAAAGGTCTTAGTCTGTGCATCTGCAAACTCTTTCCTTAGCAGACTTCACCCAGGCACTTCCAACCCTTCTTTCTGCAACCTGGACCTCACAGGAATCAGGGGAGGTGAGCTTGGCCAACTACTTGAAACAGAAAAAGGTCAAGCTTCTCAGAGGAATTTCCTGGGAAAATCTCCAAGATGCTGTCAGGATTTCAGTTTCATTCCAGATCTCTGGATCACTCGGAGTAGGCTTGAGAATACACTTTGAGCTCTTTCTGGATGACAACTCCCTGAAAGGTGGAGTTCAGCAATGTTCTCTGGCAGAAGAATTAATTTCCCTAAACCACTAGACTCTGAGACTCCCCTAACCAGTCTTCGTGTTTCTCAAAGTTGCATTTTGGGTTTTTTTCTTGGCCCATAGTGGTGGATCCTCAATAATTAACACCGAATAAGTAAACAAACCAGTCATCTAGCAAAAAGTTTTGCAATTATTGAGTTACAGATAAGAGTGCAGCAATTTCAAATTTGATGTATCAAAGATTCACACAATGTTAAGATGTACCAATGCCCAGTCCTTAGTTTGCTGTCTACTGAAAATGGGTCTTCTGATTAATAATGCATTCAGTCTGTTTGTGTTTCTCAGGACCTGACAGACATGCAGCGAGAAACTCCAGGAGTACTTCTCTTACTGCATAGTCTGAAAAATCTGCCAAACTCCCTTCTCAGCAGGTTCTGACATGCTTTTGTGAATCACTTAATAGGTGTCGCTCCTCCTCCTAAAACCCATTTCAGAGCACCTCCCACAGTCCCTTTTCTCAAATTAGTCTTCAAATAAAACAACACATCCCTGAGAAACTGAAGCACTTAGTTTATTAGTCCAACCCCAAACTTCAAAACAGCTGCTGGAAAGCTCAGATTTGGAATCAACTCTCTTTCCTCTCCACCCTGGCAATACTATGCCATCTTGCTGTGTTCTAAGCAGAGTCATCATAAGAGATCTGCCCTTGGACAGGTGCTTATACACCTCATCTTGCCAACACAGTGCTGGAAGGGGTTTGTCTTCCCTAGGCTGCTTTCCCTAGATCTCACATTCAGCAGCCTCCAGATGGATTTTTCTCTTCACATATTGCCTATATGGAAGGTCTCAGATGGACAATGGCTGCCAAGTGACTGGAGAAGAAGCAAAAAGAGTCTTCACTCTAATTCTGCTATGGTTTGTGCCAGGAGCTGGCCTTTGAGAGGCCACTGACTACTTACCTGCAGTTTGTCCTGCTGTCTTGTGTGGGACATGAGAAGGTCTTCAGTGGAGAGCATGCCTCTGGGCAGCTCTGTCATGGACAGGCAGGACCCAAATGTCTGCAGCATCTGAGCAGTATTCTTCAATGTCAAGGCAAAGTTTTCTATGGCCTGGAAAATCAGACAATTATAATAACATGGAGCAGTTAACATTCACCAATATGCTTTCTCAATGGAACAACACTGAATTAGCTATGCTTTTCTCAGTGCCACATATTGTCCCTGATACTATATTTATGTATCACCTCAATAATATAGAGTTGGAGGCATCTGCTGTACTTTAATATGAAACTCCAACAAGTTAGTTGAATTGCCCAAAATCATATTACTTGGGCAGGAAGGGAGGAAGGGAGGATACAACTAAGATCAGCGGGTTCAGGGCTCTGTTCATTACTCCAGGGTAATGAACATTAAGTCTGACTCCAGATTTACGCAGGTGCAATGCCACAAAGGGCAGAACCACCCCACTTTCTTTCTAAAAAAACCTCACCTTCTCTTCTAAGTCCCTGCAATACCTTCTCTTTTTCCCCATTCCTCCTCCAGCTTCCTGCTGCCTCTGAGAGGCCTGTCAAATCCTGCTGAGAGGATATGAAAATTGGGAGGGGAATGAAGATAGTGATTAGGTCATTAGTGACCTTTATGAGAGTTATTTCCATCTATGGGATGGATTGGGGACGTCTTCCTGTCCCATCTCTTTTATAAAATTTGCAAGCACCGTGTCACACTCTTCTCTGTACTCCCAGGGTGTGGTATCAGAGGGTGCCCATAAACTGCTATTGAGTTAATGGAAAAAACAAAAAGGTTCTACAGAATTTTCATTTGGGAAGAAATGACCTCTGTTCCTACATTATCAGAGAACTGTTTCTGAAAACCCAAACCCACATCATAAAGAATGTACCAGACCTGACAGGGCCTGTCTCTATGCCAGGGCCTGGGGCTGGAGCTGGCATGATAAAGCTTCCAGAGCACTGCCCACTCCCTCTACTGTCTGGACCCAAAAGGTTCTCTACTTCAGCTGTTTTCATACTTGAAGTATTGCTGTGGGAGGACATCTCCCTGTTAGCACAAGCATTTGAACAGCCACAACTTTGAGCACCTTAGTGCTTCTGGCTTAGAAATTCAAACTCTTTTGTAAAAATCTTTCTTTCAACTACACTAGTTTCATTATATTGAGATAACTA